AGAACAAATTCATCATAAACATTTCCAAGCTGGAAAAATAAGTAATTGCTGTGTTTTTTATGTGAGTTCTTATGACAACAGTTCTTATACTTTTAGTGCTCTTCAGAAGAGTAAAAGGATTATTAAACGTGGTACTGTTGAAATCATTGGAAAGCTTTTCTAAAGCTTGAGATAGAGTTAAAATTTATTTTAATATATGCATGATAAAACTATTGAGAAATTATTCTTAAATTCTATCCATCTGTTTGTCTCTCTAAAATGTAATGAATGGGGATGAATATCATCAGGCACAATGCAGCTTGGAAGTAACTGAGTAGTAAGGAAAGTTTTGTTGCAGTTACATATTCTGGGACTTTGGAACTCTGATGTGCAAAAATGTAAAGTCACTCTGAAAATATCTCTATAACCTAAATACACATGCTAAGCATCAGCTGATTCTCCGTGGCAGGCATGGTTTTATTTCTTCTCATGTTTCATTGCTCTAGCTGGGGACATCTGTAGTCTTACCTTGGAAATAACACTTCATATTTTGTGTTTTAACATGTTCAAAGGCTTAAAAAATTAAAATGTATTAAGACCCCCAAATTGTCTGTTCATATTATGTTGGAGAGGTTGTTGAAACTATTGTTTTGTGATTGTTACCTATGGAGTCAATTTATCTTTAAAATAATAAAAGCCCCATGAAGATGACTTTTCTCTTGCTGCCAAAAGTCACTCACATAAGAGTCTTTATTGACTTCAGTTTGTTAAATTTAATTTCTTATCAAGGTCACCTGACTTTATTTTCAGTATTTAATTTGAATTTAAATTATTGACTTATATGTCAATAATCATTTACATGTATGATAAAATACCTGTGATGGGGATGGGGACTGGGACACCTGAAGTAAAGTTTCTATACTTGTGTTTTACCATGCAGTTATCACAGAATGCTAAAGCCAATAATTGAAATAGATGCACATGAACTTCAGACATTTAAACACATGTCTCTGTGAGATTATACACAAACGGTTTTATATTTAGATAAGTGAATTTCCCCATAAATTTAGGAGGAATTATATCTTTTAATCAAATTGTAATTAGATTGCTGCCTTTTCTTCTTTCTACCACTTGGCATTAAGAAGGAAACAAGACATGATTTTGGCTTCATAGATTTCATCTGATTTCACTGGGAGGAGATGCCTACTGAAATACTCAATGGCAAACACAAAGCGGAGACGGGTTTTGGGTAATTTTCTCACTAAGTTGTAATTGGTTTTTATTTTCATTCTTTGGAGGCCTGTCACCCATTTCTCAAATAAACTCACTGAGACTTATTCTTACTTGTAAATGCTCAGCCTTAGCTTGGCTTGTTTCTAGCCAGCTTTTCTTAAATCATCCCATCTACCTTTTGCCTCTGGGCTCTTACCTTTTTCTATTCTATATACCTTTCTTTCCTTCTTACTCCATGGCTGGTTGTGTGGCCGGGTGGCTGGCTCCTGGCATCCTTACCTCCTTCTCCTTTTTTCACTTGCTCCCTCTTCTCTCTTTTTCTCCTTCTATTTATTCTCTCTGCCTGCCAGTCCTGCCTATTTCTCCTGTCTAGCTATTGGGCCATTCAGATCTTTATTAAGCCATTAGGTGTTTTAGACAGGCACAGTAACAGCTTTACAGAGTTAAACAAATGCAACTTAAAAGAATACAACACATCTTTGCATCATTAAACAAACATTCCACAGCATAAAAGAATGCAACACATCTTTAACTAATATTCCACAGCACTAAGTTCCTTAAGCAAATGTGGGCAAATGTTTATTTTTTTTTCATGGATCATTCCAATGTATATCACAAAGATAGAAAGATACTGCTTGCAAGACATCCCTGTGGATTTTTCACATAAAATAAAATTTTGTATATAATATGCATCTTATTCTTCACAGTTAAGCCACTAGGCAAATTACTCATCACCTAACCTACCTTCTGTTCACACTAATGTTATGTACAAATTCTTCTTCAAGGCAGCAAATGCTTTGTTACATGTCAATTACATTTAATGTTAAAATTCTTGGTAATACCACAGTGTCAATTCTAAAAAGAAAGGTGTTAATGCCTATTGATAAAAATTGTAATTTTGTAAATTCAAAGTTAATACATGGAACTAATTTTTATAATCTCACCTTGAGTTTACCCAACATTAAAAAAAATATTGACCAAAATCATCTAATGGGTTGACTTTTTAAGTTATTTTGTTTTGAGACAGGATTTCCTGCATAACTCAGGGTGACCTGGGGCTTAACATTTAGAAAACACCAACTTCAAAATCATGATCCTCCTGTCTGAGGTCTTGGTTACTGGGATTATGAGGATTTTCATTTTTATGTATTTTTGTATGTGAAAATATATAGAAACTAGGCTAAAGTCACAAAATATGCTTATTCCAATCACTTTAAGTATTGGATGTAATACAAATTGAAAGCAAAATAAATCCCTATGCTGTGGTCCATTAGTAACACTGTGAAAAACTAACACAAAAAGTCAACTTCAAAATTTCATTTTGTTTAGACACTTAGAAAATAACAATTAAATCAAATGAGAACTACCCTAAAATAAAATACAGCCAGGACTGTGTACTTTATTTTTAATAGCACACACAAATGGTAGTCAAAGTTAGTATGTTGTCAATAGTACAGAGTGAATTCAGTAAAGAAATAGTGTTTGCATGCACTACACTTACTATAATGGCTGTACCAAATACATCTTCTTTAATTTTGTTTTCATAAAGCAAGTTAATATGCAAAATATATAGTTATGGATATTCACCAGTAAATTTCATACTGTCTTAAGTCAGTAGCTCCAAATGGATGATGTTAGAATTTGAAAAGAAATATTTTATATTTCACTTTTGGCTATTAAAAACAATCACAGAGCATCATTTAGAGTTGTCAAAGAAAGGACAAGCCATTTGTGTTGCCAGGATCAACAGTGTTGATCCTGTTGAAGTGTCATTCAACTAAGAGTACTATGGCTGGTGTCAGTTTCCTGAACACATCCGTAACACTGTAAAAACCATATGTGGAAAATACATAGGAATGCATGTGATATGGGAGTGTCTTTTCATCTAGTCTCATTTATCTTAAAAAGCAATTAACTTGTAGTTATTGATGTTTAAATACTAATGTAAATATAAGTGCTTGTGACCTATGTCATAATTAATTTCCACACACAAGCAATTGAGAAAAGTTGGCCCATGCTATGGAGGAAATGGAAAACTTAGATGTTTTATTCCAGTTCAAGCTCCGAGTTCAGTGTGGCATTCCCAGTCACTCTGTGGGTCTGGGAAAGTAGTGTCCTGGTTGAGATGCAGCTGGAGGGTTGGGCTGTCCTCCTGGGACAGGTACTGACCCTCTCTAGGAGCAGAGAGGGCTGGTTGTTGGCCATTGCAGTGTTTCTAAGTCTGGCCATGTGGGAATCATATGAGCTGCGCCTGACATATAGATTGCTGGACTAGGACAGATCTCTGAAGCGGTCTTGCAGCCTGCACGGGCCTTCACGCAGACCATTGGTTTGGCCATTTGGGGGAATCCGGTATTAATGGTGGCTCCCAGCCCACTTGCATTCCCTCCCATGTTCCCTGAGTTGCTAGAATACACCTGATAACCTGTATCACATGACAGCACATGAACAATCGAGTCCTACGTCATTAGCAATCCAGAGTTTGTAGTCATCTGTTTGAGGGAACACAGAGGTGCAGAGGCTTCTCAAAGCAGTTGCCTTTGATTGCAGGGTAGGCATGCCCTGATAGTTCACACTGAGCTCCGAAATGCAGTTATCAGTCAGTCTCAGAGAAATTCAGAACACGCTTCGCTGTGTTCGTCCCTTTTGGAGAAGACACTGTTGCACAGTCATGGTGCAGTTCTGCTTTCTTGGGAGTCATTCCTTCTATATTTGCTCTTCATTATTTCTTTTTTTACTTTTTCTCCATCTCTTTTATAAGATACTCAGGCAGTGATTGGATTACTGAATTATGACTGTGGCCTTTTACAACCCAATTAAAAGTAACTATGAAGTTGTTGCTATGGGAGATAATTTTATTGAATATATTTTACAATTAATTATATATCGATATAGTCAAGTGTCATTAATTAGTCTAATTATAAAATGTAATTACTCGAATAGTCATGGTGGTTTACTGCTCTTTAATAGCCAGGGTTTGGAGTTTCATTTGATCTCAATGATTACTCCAATCTCTTCCTTTTAGATTATTATCCCTTTCTTTGTGGCTATATTAGATTTGGTTGGCTGGTCTTAAAACATCAGCTACTTAGGTAACAAATAAAATATCCCACAGTCAGCCTTTTGAAGAAGAGATTAAGAACAACGAAGTGTAAGGGATAAGAAGGTTCCAAATTACTGTCTTCAGGTCGCATCGCTTATATTTCTCACTGCTTAACAAGGCATGGCAGTTCACAAGGAGTGAAGGAGTAGGGTAGTGGCATATTTTAATTATGTTGAAGTTTGAAAATATTAAAAGGTCTGTGGATTATCAAGATGTTCTTTTGAGATCTACCTGCTTTAGGAATAACTAATATATATCTACAAACTTTCATTTTGAAAATAAAAGTAGGATGGAAAAACTATGAGAATATAGTAGACAAGAAATCAAGTATTAAAATGCTGTCATGTTTATAAGTATTGACTCCAGGATATGAAACAAAACAAACTTCTTATAAGCAGACTATTAATAGCTATATAATAAAATAAGCAAGAAACTACCACCCTGTGTAACTAACTTTTGGTTTCTGCACTTTTTAGCCAGCTTAGATACACTCCCAGAAACGCATTGGTGTATATCGGCATTATCATGCTGCCATTCTCCTTGGAAAAATCAGTTTGGTAGACTGCGCATCAGGGTTTATCTTGGGGTAGTTATGGTATATTATACTCATTTGCTGCATGTGGCAGATGGACCGATGTCTTGACATGAGTACTAAGCCTTCTCCTTTACCTTTACTGTGTTACAGAGACCCTGGAAACCCTCATCCGACAAGCGGAGAACTACACCAGTATCCTTTTCTGCAACACCTACCGGAACATGGCAATGGAGGCTGCTGCTTCTGTTCAGGAGCTTTTCACTGAAGTAGGGCTCTATTTATTTGGTGCAGATGTTAATCCTGAAGAATTTGTAAACAGATTTTTTGACAGTCTTTTCCCTCTGGTCTACAACCATCTCATAAACCCTGGTGTGACTGACAGTTCTCTGCAATACGCAGAATGTATCCGAATGGCCCGCCAGGATGTTAGTCCATTTGGCAATATTCCCAAAAGAGTCATGGGGCAGATGGGGAGGTCCCTGCTGCCCAGCCGCACATTTCTGCAGGCCCTTAATCTGGGCATTGAAGTCATCAATACCACGGACCATATGCACTTCTCCAAGGAGTGCAGTCGAGCCCTCCTGAGGATGCAGTATTGCCCGCACTGCCAGAGCCTGATGCTCAGCAAGCCCTGTATGGGGTACTGCCTTAATGTTGTCAGGGGCTGCCTGGCCCACATGACAGAGCTTAATCCACACTGGCATGCTTATATCCGGTCCTTGGAAGAGCTGTCAGATGCGATGCATGGGACCTATGATGTGGAACACGTGCTCCTGAACTTCCACTTGCTTGTCAATGATGCCGTTCTGCAGGCGCACCTCAATGGGCAGAAGCTACTGGACCAGGTAAGCTGCTGTTCTGTGCCTCCCAGCTAATTTCCTAGAATGCAAAGACCAGTCAGGATACACCCAAAATTATGTGATATTTTATTGTCCTATTCTTCACATTTTTTATCAGCATAGTGAATTCATTCACTGAGAAACTGTAGCAAGATAAATGGATAGGCATGTTTGATTCAAAGTATCACATTATATCTATTTTACACCAAAATTCTGAACAGCTAAAATAACACTTTACTCATTAAGTACAGAGTTTCTCCAATGGTTTTGTGAAATTGGAAGAGCTCATGTTTAAATCAAGAACAGCATCGATTTGAGTCCAAATGCAAAGTTAACTAGCAACATGAAAGGAGGTAAGAGTTTTCAGTCTCTGCACCCTAATATCCTCATTGCTTGGAAGACAACACTGCTGGTATCCTCTGCAGCATTTCTTTCCGAGAAGGTCTTACGTGTGCAAACTCTTTCTAGACCTGTGTATAAAAAGGCTGTCATTGTGGGGCTGCTGTTGCAGCTTCCTAGCTTTAGAGTAGGAAAACACTGCTTATGTGTTCATAAAGTTAAGACATGATACCTTGGTGTGCACAAGCATTTATTAGGATTTTGACAAAGTGACGGAGTGACAGTTTGTCAGAACCCGATCTGTACACTCTCTTGTTTTATTTCTAGCAAAATAAGAATCTTTTGAAACAAAACCATCAGGCAAGGGATGCAGGAGTTTTCTCTTCCTCCAGCTTCCTGTGGAGCTATTTAAAAACATTCTCAGGTTCTGTCAGTAAAGCTTCTCATGTTTCATAGAGTGAAATAGGATGTGCTGTGAATGTTTCTCCTACATCATTTCTCCTGAAATAAGACGAATACTCTCCAGTACCAAGACAATCCATCTTCCTGTATTGACATTGATTTACTGACTTAACAAATATTCTCATCACGAGATCTGAATGTCAACTGTTCATTTCTGGTAGAAGGGTGGACGTGAAAAGTTTGAGTTTAACCAGCACCTTCAAGTTTTTTTCTGTAGCCTTTGTGAGCTGCTTGGGTGCCTTTAGAAAATTAGAAATGGTGCCCTCTGGTGGTTGCATGATTAGCATGTGGTATTCACTGGATTTCGACTCACAGATTGTGTTCTGCTGAATGTCCTTATCCAGTGACACCTTTATTTTGCCATTTTACAATTAGTGTTCAAAATAATGGGTTTCATTATGACATTTTAATAATATATATAACATATCAACATCTACATCTATCATCTATCTTTATACTGTATTTTTTTCATAGTCACTTTTCAATGTCCTCCTACTTTACTTGTTCTCAACTTGATTAATAAGCCTCATTTATTGGTCTTCTATCCTCTATTTATGTAAATAAAATATAGAATAGACTTCTAAAAGGACTTAACAAACTAACAAGAATTTATAGTTTTAAAATTTGGATGGGAAATATTATATTCATATTATGATGACAAGTATGTCCAGAGGGAATATATGTATTTAGAAATCTGAGGTCAAGTCTAGAATTCATTTTTTTCTTTTAAAAACTGTTCACTTATTTTATTATTTTTATGTATCTGAGAGCTTTGCCTGCATGTATATGTATGTACTATGCATGTGCCTGGTGTCCGCAGAAGTCAGAAGAGGCTCCTGGAAGTAACAGACATTGTGAGCTGCCATGTGGGTGCTGTGATTCAAACCCAGTTCTTTTCCAAGAGCAACAAGTGCTCTTCACCCCTGAACCATCTCTCCAGTTCTCAGATTTTATATTTAATTTGTGATATGCTCGTTAGCATCTTGGGCCAGAGATTTCTGATATATGTAAGAGAATTGACACTTGTCCTTTTTGTTACACATTTTTGAGAGCCAGAGTGCCTTTTTTGTGTCCTTAAAATCCATCATGTATAAATTCATCTATTTTTCCTATTTCAAAGGCTGAAATAACACAGGACTCCCGTGGACTTGCATGCTTTTAAGTCCAGCATTTTCTACCAGGAGCCTCAGCAAGCTACTAACAGTGTTAGATCTGAATTTGGCTTGTGTGACAAGGATGGTAGGGATGGATTAGTTGGGATAATATTGGTCAATCGCAGGGGCTGGATATGTGACCACCTGCTGTTTTCTTTCCCTAGTCTGGGCAAACCTTGGTTAAACAGTTTACTTTTGTATTTCAAATTAATACTATCATGTTTGTGCTTTAAGAATACATTTTATAGAAAGCTTTCATCCTGTGAAAAGAGGATAGGAAGTATGTACAAGGCAGAGGACAGGGTCAAGAGCCGCAAAAGACACTGCAATTGTGAACTCACAACTGCAGTTATCTGCACCGGGCCTTGTAAGATTTGCCTTGTCAACAATTACAGCCATTACTCCCTGTCTCTCCGTCTGTCTCTTTCTCTTTAATCTGTTTAGTAATAAAGTCTGCTCTTTAACGATTTCACACAGTAAGGAATACTGAGTATTCTTGCCTCCACTTTCCCTCATCTCTCGCCTATTGTGTCTACTCTTCCTTCCTACAAATCTGTCCCACATTCCTGTCTATCCATTTGTTTTGTGAATCACTGAGTTTACCCAGGGCCATTGGTATGACCATGGGTTTGGAGATATCTGTTGGAACTTCAGCAGACACTGACTCCCTTTGTTCCAGAATCTCTAATTAGGCAATGGTTCAGTCCATAAAGGGTCAGGTTCTGTGCAGCTCCCCCCCTTCCATGACCCACTGTTGACAAAGCCAGTGTTGAGCTGCCCCAGGGAAGGGAACTATGGTTCCACATTCGTGGTTGCAAGAGTTGTATTGGGGCTTGAGAACAGCATTTCACAGCTCCTCCCCTAATCACCTGACTCTTGCCTCATTCTGTCTTCTCTTCCAGGGTTCTCTGGATATTAGAGGTGGTGTTGGTAGCATAAATGTGCTCTAGGGCTGAGGGCTGGATGGTCACTTATTTTTAGTGTCTTGTATTCATTAGTTCACTGAAAAGATAGGCTTCTGTGAGGAAGGTGGAGAGTAAGGGGCGAGTGTGTGTGTGTGTGTGTGTGTGTGTGTGTGTGTGTGTGTGTGTGTGTGTATGTGTGCGCTATAAACGTACTTAGAAGGCCCTTTGATGCGATGTCTTATTTAAACTGCAGTGGTACAAGTTCCTCTCTTGAGTTCTAACTCCCCAGGCATGGGTTGTTGTTAGTCGCACAGCCAGGCGTGGGCTCCCTCCCATGGTGTTGGTTACCTCCTACCCCACAGTGGTGCCACTATTGTGCATGTGGGCACAACTGGGGCGAGATATTGTGTACTATTGCGTACCCTAATAAATTTGCCTGAGGATCAGACGACAGAGCCAGATACTGGTTCTTACTTCTACAAAATCCTCAGCCTAAGGAGAGTGAGTTTCTGTTTCCTCACGCCTTATCTACCTTTCTCTACCCTGCCATATTACCTCCTGGGATTGAAGGCATGTGTGCTGCCCAAGCAAAGGCATGAGATCTCAAATGCTGGGATTAAAGGTGTGTGCCACCACTGCCTGACCCCTATGTCTAATCTAATGGCTGGCTCTGTCCTCTAACTCTCAGTCAAGTTTATTAGGGTACACAATATATCACCACACACAGCTTTCTGGGTAGGTTTGTTTTTTGATTTATATAGTTCTCAAGTGGATAAGACCATTGCTAACTTTTTTACTCCTTTGGCCAAATATATCTTCTGGCATCTGAAAGCAAGCCAGCCTTGAGGAAGTTTCCAGGTCAGTACGAGCTTTCTCTCAACCTTATAATGAAGTATGTGGTATTTCAGCAGTAGGGTCTGATTCTGTAGTCCTGATTGGCAATCAAGAGGACTAACAGGAGACTTCTGTTTCAGGAACCTAAAAAAAAGTCTGATTTTGTATAATAAAATGGTATGATAAGTATCTTAAGGAACATAATTATTACTAACAAATTGTGGGTTATTTTTCAAATAAAACAACTGAGATCCTCATTTTCATTTATTTGGAAAGAAGAAGAAGAAACTGACTTTAAGTTCCTTGTAAATTGACTCATTAATATTTATTTGTGCCAACTTCAAAGTGATTTATAAACTGTTTATCAAGCTTTGATAACCGGTTCACACATCAGTGATCTCAACAAATTCAAAATAAATTGTTGAGGAGCAGCAAATAATGGTTCTCACATTCCCAAAGCAATCTATGAACTCAAGCACATCTCTGTGTATTCTTCAATAAATACATATTTCCTCTTAACGAAATCCACAGAAGTGCCTGATGTATCATGCTCTGTTAAAGGAATTTCAACCTGAAATAAAAATCAGTTCTTAGGTTATTGACAAAATCATAAGTATTGCACACACACACACACACACACACACACACACACACACACACACACACACAACTTTCAGTAACAGAAGCGTGTTTAAAAAGATTGTTCTGATGGAAGCAGATGCAGAGATCCACAGCCAAATACCAGGCTGAGCTCCAGGAGTCCAGTTGAAGAGAGAGAGGAGGGATTCTATGAGCAAGGGGCATCAAGATCCTGATGGGGAAACCTACAGAGACAACCAAACCAAACTAGTGGGAACTTTAGACCAACAGCTGTGGAGCCTCCACAGGACTGGACTAGGCCTCTGCATAAGTGAGACAGTTGTGTAGCTTGATCTGCTTAAGGGGCCCCCTGGCAGTAGGATCGGGATTCATGCCTGGTGTATGAACAGGCTTTTTAGAGCCCACTACTTATGGGCTTACACAGCCTTGAGGCAGGGAGAGGGGCTTGGACCTGCCTTGAATGTACCAGGCTCTGCTGACTCCCCATGGGAGGCCTTTCCTTCTTGTAGGAGGGAATGGGGGGTGGTTTGGGGGGGAGGATGGAAGGACAGGAGGAGGGAAGAGGGGGATTTGTGATTGGTATGTAAAATGAATAAAAAATTTCTAAATAAAAAATAAAAAAATTAGACGATTGCTCAGTAAAAAAAATAATAAAAAATTAAAGACTATTCTTTAAATTCTATAGTTTTTTTTGTAGATTAACTCAAAATTT